ACGCGACTAAGAGAAACGACAAGATGCATATCTAAAAAAAAAAAAGTCGTCTTGAAGACCCCGAAAGGAAGTCTAGAAGTCTTGGCTTCTGCACGACGCAACCGTTTGCAATGTTGTAATTATTTATCGGATTCACGTGGCACATTATCTATAAAATTGTTTGTTCTCGATTAAAATTTGGCACTGCGAGTATTTTTTTTTATTATCTCGGTGTCGTAATGATTTTAAGTTTTGCGGAAATGTGGAACTTCAACAAGGAAGAATACGAAGACAGAAATTGATTAAAGCGACGTATCTCAATCGCGGAAAATAAAATAACGTAAAATAATTCATATATGAAATTTGAGGAAATTCAAGGAAAATCATCTGTAACCTTTAGACGCGTGGATTATAAAGTTGAGTAAATGACGGACTTTCCGCCTCCGTCGACTTTCGACATTTGCTTCTTCCCGCGTGTAAAACGGTTTTTGGAATTCGCCATTTATCACGCATCCGTTTTTATGATATTTCCCCCGCCCCCTCCCCTCCCCCCCCCCGACCTAATTTAATCCCGCGATGATTTTCATCCCGCGCGATTTAGTTTCGAGTGAATTTTAGATGAGTCGGAAAATTTTCCTCTCCCCCTTAATCCCCCCGTGTTGAATTTAATGAGAAAGACCGCCTTATCGTAATTACGCGAGTTTTCCAGACACAGAGAGAGCTGCACCCATACACACACGCACACAGGCGCACGTACACATACACGCGCGCGCGCCCGCGCGCGTGAGTGTCAGACTCGTGCACGTGCATACACGGCAGCCTGTGCACGCACCAGCTCGCGTACGTACGTACATACGTACGCAGAATCGCTCCCTCACCGGCGCGGAGCGCGCGCACGCACCTAATACTCCGCGAGAGAGTAGAATACTCTCTCGCGAGTAGTCGTCCGTGCCTCGCAGCAGTCTGCGTGCGTCCACGCTCGGCATCGTTATCGTCGCGTTTGCGCCGCTCTCGCGCTCGTGTTTGCCGTGTGTACGTGTGTCTGTCTCCGTCCATGCGGAGGTCTCTTCGTGCGGCTCAACGTGCATGTGTGCATGCGCTCCGAGACGAGAATGTTATTTATTAGATCAGAGGAAGCCAGTTTGCAGTGACGCACGGAGTGTCGGCCGTCGGGGACGCAGCACACGACAGTGAACACCTCGACTCGACGTAAGGAAACGTGAGAAGCGAAGCCTCTCCTCCCGCGTCGCGTTCTCCAACGAGTACGAGGGCCCTCTCGCTCACCCTTTTTGCTGACGGCGCGCATCCTCGAAAGTGCCTCCCGACCGAGTCCCCCGAGGAACGTTTCGTGAGAACTTCACGGCGGTTCGCCGGGGCCGGAAGTGAGTCTCGCCGTTGGATAACGGAAGTTGGCCGGTGCAATTCGTGACACGGTGTCTTCCTTGCGCGTTCCATCGGACGAGAGATAATCGATCTCTGGTGGATCTCGCGACTGACGGAAGATACATGGAAACGTGCCGCGAGGCAAATTCTTCTCGCATTTAATTATTATATGAGTTCCGTGGGCACGGCTGTTTTGACATTTATTCAAATCAGAAGTGTCATACACATACACACACACACACACACACACACACGCGCGCGCGCGCGCGCGCGCGGTCGATTATATAAAAATGTCTTCGACTGTGTTCCGCGCGAAATGAAATATAGCTGAAATATTTACGAATTAGATATCATCCCGCGATAAAAATTCATTTGAAAAAACGGAACGAATATACGGGGAGATTTTAAATGAGTCTCCGCTTCCCTGTAACGTGAGAAATATCAAAGTTCGCTCAGCTTATGTTTCGCATGTTACATTTCACGTTTCTATACGTTAAATATGCACCGGCGATATACCTTGTCGTATCGACAAAGTATGAAAATACGATTTCATATCGATAATCGATACGGATAGTAATCCAAACGAGGCTCGAGAAAAATCTCGGGATATTTTCGGGTCGAGATATCATAACGATTCGAAATGGGAGGAGATTTTCCGCTAAAAGCAAACACAGTGGTAGGTCTGTCACGTTCCCGTGCGGGATTTATACTGTTCACGTGTGTTCACATATCGAAAATGTGCGCACGTTCCGCATCGAGAATATCACTTCAACACACGCAAACAATAAGCCCATCTACATTATTCTCCGTTATACAATCCCCCCCATTTCAATTGCATACTACGAGAGACGTCACGTCAAAAGATATTATCGTGACGAAAAATCTTTACGCTCTTAATCGCTCCACTTTTATTCCACAAAGAGACAGGATGAGGAACGGGAAAATATTATAAAATCCTTACCGCTCGTATTAATTACGATAATATTAATCTCGCGTTGTTAAAAAAAATATCCTCTTATCAGGTTAATTGATAATCGTATCATTTACTTTTTATCGAAAATCGTCGTATCGGGCGTATTAATTTCTAATTAAATCCAATCATATTTTCATTAATAGCGTAGAAACGATTTTTGTCGCGTTTGGGACCGCGAAGAATATAAATGACGGAATTATTTTAATTTTATTTTCACACTACGAGAGGAGAGATAATTCCAGTGATAAAAGCAATTGTTTTTGATTTATATCGGACGTCGAGTGTTCGACAGCGCCGAGCGACCTCGGCAATCAGCCAATCTTTTTATATCGGCTAACCAGCGCCGGCTGCGTAACAAATGGATCGTTGCAATTAAGAAAACCGGTGCACTCGATCGCGCTCGAGATCAGATCAGATCTCCGATGTAATGACGCGATTAATTTATCGCTCGTGACGATTTTGTGCCGGGGATTTTTTGCCGCCGCTATTAAAACGCTCGACACGAAGTCGTCACGACTTATCACGCGAGCGCGATCATGATTTCGCTTCGTGATTTTTGCTTTTCCTGATTTCTCTCAAGCGAGTTTCAAGCTCGACGCGAGTCCAGGAGTCCCATCCACGTCCCGAGGGATCTCGCGATCCCACGCGAGGCTGCCGACGGTGGTGCGGTTCCGGCGCAGGATCGTCGAAAAGAGGAACAAAGGGGGACATTATCGCGGCAAGAGGCGAAGGAGGACGAGAAGGAGCAAGCTCCTTCGCGGGAGAAACGCTCGCCGTTGTTGGAGAAAGTGATTCGCAAGCACGAGGAGGACAGTCTGATCTGCAAGGAGCACTCGCTCGAGTATCAGAGTCAGACGCTCGAGAGCCAATCGGAGCATCTGTTTCACGAGGCGATCACCTCGTCGTTGGAGGACCTACTGAGAACAATCCCCGAGAGACGGACCAGCGAGATCTACGAGGAGAGTTTCTACGACAAGATCGAGCAAAGCTTCAAGGAAACGCAGTCCTCGCCTAAGGAGAAGCGCGATGTGCAAACGCAGACCGGGCTGGAGTCGAAGAGCACGCAGTGCAGCCCGGAGCAGAGTGTAACGAGCCCGTGCGAGGAGCCACCGAGCATCAGCCCCTTTCACATCGGCCAGAGGTACTTTCAGAGCCCCAGACGGGAGGTCCAGACGCAGACTCAGGGCGAGAACAAGGCCGTGCAGTGCTCGCTGGACGATCTCGGTGATCTCGTGAGAGGCGACATCGCGTTCCCGGATCAGCCGCAGGAGTCGAAGAGCATTCAATGCCTACCGGAGGACATCTCCACGAGATCGTCCGACAGATCGAGGTCCTCCTCCCGAGAAGACACCCTGCGCAGCCCGCGACGTGAGGTCGAGGTGCAGACCTATCAGGAATCCAAGGCGGTCCAATGCAGCGACGACGAGCTGCTGCTCGAGGCTGATCAAGCGAGCACCGATCGTTCGGAGCACGCCCGTCAGAGTCGACCAGCCAGCTCGATCTCCAGGAAGACCGAGAGCTCGCCCTCGTCGAGCTCGAGCTCGCCGCGTAAGTTTCCAACAGTCGTCTTCGTGGAGGGGAAGGGGGACATGACCGTCACGCATAAGGAGCACGATGGCGACGTCACCTGGTCGAAACACTGGGGTCCCGAGAGACTGGTGGAGATATACAGAGAGCCGAAAACCAGCCTAGGGCTCAGCATCGTCGGCGGAAAGGTATGATGAGTGGTTCAATAACGCAGTCGTTACTTAGAAAATTAAAAAAAAAAGAATCTAAAATTTCATAAAATTAATCTAAGCTTTAAAAATTATCTGAAATTTAACATTTCACCAAATTATCAATCTAATTTAAAAAAAACAGGATGGATTTATATTAAATAATGCTTCTTTTATCATATATCACTTTCTCGTAAATATTTTAATAATTTTCGTAAATATTTTAAATATTTAATTACAGCGTCGCACTCTCGTTACATTATCTATAATGGCTCTATTATGGGCGTTAATCTAATTTACAGCACGCGCGAATATCGCACGTGGTCGCGAGATGTATTTTTATAAAATTGTCGAGATTCGATCGATGCAGAGAGAGAGATAATTCTGAATTATTGGCACGTTCTCGCACGCGGGGTTCTCAGGGCCATAATTTTTCCCTTTTATTAGCGCGCCACGAATATAGCCGCGAGTGGAGCCGCGAGTTGGCCCCGTCGATATCGCCCTTGGCTTGGTGGTTTTATAGCTTCGCCTTTAAAATCGGGAATGCTACGACGGAGCTATTGAAACATTCGGACAGAGTTGGAGTCGAAGTAGGTCGGGCCAGATGGCCGCCAATAAATGGACGGCCTGATGGATCTATTTCGCACCGGATGATCTGCAACTCAATAATTCAGGCCGATAATTAATGTCGGATTTTAACAAGTAATAAACTGTCACGTGCAAACGCGTTCACGGCGGACTTCAGGCGTGGGCGTTTAATGGATTCGACCCTGCGATCCCGCGAATAAATTTCTCATACGCGACGCGGGCTAAAGGCTCTCTATTGATCAACAGCGTGTGCATCGGGGATGTTAGTTTGAATTTAATCGATTATAACTCTTTATGAATACCGAATCGGCGAGGCCTTGCACGCGCATCGGTTCAAGTGTGTTAATGCGCAGCCGTACAGTTCTACGAATGTTAAACCGACAAGAAGATATAATAGGATCATCGGCTTTGATTCGAGAGACGATTTCTCGAATCAAATCTCGTCGTTACCCTGAAGCTCTCCAAAATTTCGTCTCGCCCGTTTAAATTATCGGGTTATTGCGCATTTGCGAAATAACGTGTAACTCCGTAACTCCGAATTCAATTATACTATATATTGGCTAATTATTGGCTGCCTATGGTTGTGTACAGATAATTATTTCGAACGTGCGTGGGGATTACAATCCCACCGATAAATAACGTGGCAGTCGCAAAATAGAATTCGCTGCTAATTAAATAGGGATAGGGTTTGTTTCTGTGAACTCGCGTGCGCGCGGGCTGAAGGGGGGAAACGCAATCGATTATCCGATATACACGCTGAATTGTGGTGTTAAATAATTGCTTTAATTCGATTAGCGCGTGACGATGCGGCAACAAATCAATGGGCGATTAATGAGAATAAATAACCGAGGGGATATTGGGGCGGAGGATCGGGAATCACAGGCGCTAGAACCTATCTCGAATGCCAATGCCTGCGACGTGGTTTCGCAGAGTTAACAGAGTTCGGGACAGTCATAGGGAGACGCTGATTAAATCTGACTGTGATTAAACTGCGAATTGTCAACGGCTGTCTGAATCGACTAATCACGACTCTGTTGACCCCGCCGTTTAACGGGACTTTTGTGCCGGCGTTAAACGACGATCGATTCTTGTTCCAGGTCGATCTGCACAAAGGCTTGTCCAGCAAGACGCAGAATATCTCTGGGATATTCATAAAAAATGTTCTACCGAACAGTCCAGCTGGTAGAACCGGTGGTCTTAAGGTAACACGGCTTCCTCGAAACAATCCCCTTTGCGTCGATGGCGGAAATCGATATTTTTCCACCTTATTCGAGCAGCTCTCGCGTCTCTAGGTTGCAAAAATATAAAATTTTTTAATAAAGCGCAGAGAGAAGAGAATCGCCCGGTTTTTCCTTTCCCCCTCTCCCCTCCCCTAATAAAAATATTACCGCGTTAAAAGTTAAAAGTGTACGCGAGTTTCAATTAATTAACTCGCGGGAAGTGCCAAGCGCGTTTCAATCTGTAAATTTTGCTTCGTTCCGAATAAATTCACAGAATCTACTTGTCCAAGATAAATAAAATTTATTTCGCTCCTCGGATCTCGGATGCCGCGTTATCGCGTATCCTAACTCTCGAACGCTCTAATTCGAGTGTGGCATTACGTTTGCGTGAAAATTTAATAGTCCGCATATTGCGCCCGCGACGTGTCTCTGTGCCTGGACTTTAATTCGCCCTTTCGCGCGTACAACGCGCGTGCTTTCAGATCGGAGATAGGATAATTGAGGTGGACGGCGTGGACCTGCGGCACAGTACGCACGAGCGTGCAGTGGAAGTTATACAAGCCGCCGGAAATCCTGTCAGCCTTCTCGTCCAGTCCCTCGTGAATTTGGTGAGAGACTTTGATCATATATAGGAGTATCGATCTCGTGCTTGATGTTGCTACCAGTTTTATTACGCCATTATCGAAAAACCTTAGGTGAGGGCTCTCTTAAAGAGAATTTTTATCTTCCGTCTCCTCCATCCTTTTTCCACCCAAGTTTGACAATTACGCGACACGCATCATAACGAGATGAATTCGACTCATTCTGGAAGAATATTAATCGTTTCTCTTGCACGAGGATCGTGATCTTCATAAGAAAACGAATCGCGATCAGTAAGGAGGTAAAATTTCTCTTTAAAACGGAGCCGCAAATTCGTGTTATATCTCTATTGGAAGTAATGTTTTATCCTAGCTCATGAAAAAGCATCTTACACATTCCTGAGAGAAATAAATTCGCGACGAGCAACTAAACCTTTTACAGCCACTGAAATTTACGACATTGCCTCACTCTAGTAACTCGTATAACGTTTGCGACGTTACACGTCGTTTTATAGTGTGCAGCTTTTCACGATCTATCCTTTTTTTATGTTAAGTAATCTTTTGTGTGTATGTGAGGTAATATAAGATATCTCATATCTGGCACATGAAAACGTAAAACAAAGATAGAATTGATATTTTCAATCCAAACGTACTGAAATATAATATTAATTGAGACTAATGGATAGTTGAAATAACGCTTTTGTTTATCGAATAAACTTGATTATACCTACCTCTCGAAAACTACTACCGCATAATGCTTATTATTATTAATATCTCCTTAATTAACGTCTTCTTAATATCTTTAATTTATCTCAATTATACAAATTTAAGCTTCTATTTTATAATTTACTTCTCCCAATTAAGACCTCCGGCACTTCAATGCGATCCAAGGATTATTCCTTTCGCGATTTAACGACGATCCCTCTCATTTTCTCTCCGTACGCGCAAACGAAGAGTCAGAGACGATTTCGCTTCAAAGTCGCCGTTACAAATCCGCGCGCCGCTGAACTGACTCGATTTACAGGGGGACGAAAGTTTCGCCTTGCAATTAAGCCGCGATCGATTCCGTTAACCGAACGTTACCGCCAACATCGTAGTCCCACGCAGGGCAAAATTGAACTCCGTAATATCGTTGAATGGCAGCGGCCCTCCGGCGCTTCGCCGTTTAACGTCGCTCACCCGCTTCCAAAGTGTCGCCGATGGACACATTACGCGAAATTGGATGCAAGAGCGGCGACATCGGATGCTGGCGGCACTTGCGAGACGCGGGCGGACGGCGGGAAACCTCGCGGAACATAACGCAAACAATCCCGCCTTCACGGCGACCTTTATTATCCCGCCGCGAATTTTATCCGGCGATCGTGAATTTTTACGACCTCGAGCGCGCGCGCGCGAGACGCGCCGGTCTTTTGCGACGTTCTTGTCTCTTACATATCTTATCCGGATCGGAGCGCGCTCCAAGTGACGTCACGTGACGCCGATGTAAATTTAACATTGACGTCTCCGATTGTTACGTGGACGGAGGCTCTTTCATGCTCGTGGCCTCACGCCACGTCCACAACACGTGAATGCGGATTTCGTTCGCGTGGCGCGACAAACGATAATAAACTCGAGAGTCGGTGGCCATCTCGGTATCTCGAACGATAAAAATTTTTTAACGAGCTCCATATATATAAAACTCCCTCGCGTTTTCAGGAGAACCGAAAATTAACGTACGCCTCCCGATTGGCGAGACCGACTGACGAGGCCTAATATAACTTCCTTCGCGCGATCGTCATCATCGTCGATCGACACGACCGTTTCGTGGCGTTATTTTTGGCACCCCGCACCGAAGAGTACGGAGTACTATTTTTTGATGCCACGAAATCAGCTCGAAACGAAAAACGTCGGAGGAAAGCTAAAGTTTACTTCGATATACCTGATTTGTATGATGTTGTTAAGTGCCACTTCAATAGTAGGTGACAAGCACCGCGATAACACCTGTTACCTGCAGCCACAGCGATTGGTTGAAACGCGGGATTGGCGGTCTCTGAAAACGACATCGACCTTCCCCCAAATTACAATCGGCCGTGCGTTCGATTCTCTTCGGAACTGCCGATGCGGGAAGAATGGCGATGTCGAGATACATACGCGACCGCAAATGAATTGGGAGGACAGGGAGAGACGGCAAGAAAGAGAAGGAGGGAAAGAGCGGTGAAGGCGCGAAAGATAGGACGGAGAAAGGGGGACAAAGGAAGAGCGAGAGAGATAAATGGAAAGGAAGAAAAAGAGAACATGAGAACCATTACTAGCGAACGGCTCTTGTATGCGTATGATGCACCCGGGTCAATCTTCAATAAATCTCTATGATGAGAGGTAGCGAGGGGAACAGAGAGAAGAGAGAGAG